GCGGTGAGAGCGGCCAAAACACCACTTGAGATGTTCTTGCTATTTAACCGCCAGTGACTGAAGTTGGGAGAAGGAAGGTAGAATATTTATTAACACTCCCTTGTTCCTTCGACCAGCGCAGTAAGCTGGGCAATTCATTGCTAATCGCATGAGTTAGGGCCATTATCTAAAACATTTCCAAATTAATGACACTTCACGTAATTACAAATTTGTATCTTTTGGGTTGAACCTGAGGCACTGCAGGAGGGAGAATTTGAGCGAAAATTCTGGCCCCTGTGGCATTTGGGACAGGACGAGTCTGTGTTTAATGGGATTGTCCTGAGTGGTGTTGCTACCAGCCCTCATTGGGAATCATGGCCACTACGGAAAGTAGTGCAGACATGAAATAGAAGGGAAAGGGGATAGATTTTTGAGATGGTCACTTCACATTTAAGAACTCTGAGTTTAAATCCAACCTTTCTCTTATTAAAGCATTTGGGCAACTACATTCTAAACCTTGGTTTGTACTTCTGGAAAACACATTGAATAATGAATTCCACATACACATTTACTGAGTGCCTGTGCCACCCCAGGCATTCTATGGGTGCTGGGTGTAGACTTATACATTAAACAGACAGGTCCCTGGCCTCAGGGAGCTTGCAGGCCAGCGGATAAGGGGGGCAGAACAGAAGCAAGGAAACAAGCAATATTTAATTACATCATGGAATAAGGCAACATGGGAAATACTGATGCAGAGTAAAGGTCATGGGGAGTTGGAGACTTACTCAGATCGGGTTGCCAAAGAAGCCTTACCTGATGATTTGGTGTTTAAACTGGAAACCGAACAGTGAAAAAGGCAGGGATCAGCACGTGCAAAGGTCCTGAGGTTGGAAAGAGCATGACAGTAACAACCCGAACCAACAATGGTGTACAGAAGTGGCAAAATGTGGTGGATAAGAGCACAGGCACCAGGGTCTTGCTGATGGTCCCCAAGGCGGCTCACCACCAGTGACTTTGAATAAACCTCTCCTCTCTTCAGTGTCTATTTTCTCACTTAAGAAAAAAATAACAATGTAACCAGTGTTACGTAAGAATATTCTTATGGTGCCTCATAGCTCTGAGTCTATGTGAATCTTTTTATTGGCATATTTATTTTTGAGAGCTGCCATGTGGTAATTTATTAGTCCCTCATAGTATCACAGAGCTAAGAAATGGTCTTAGAGATCATTCAGTCTCAAACCTTCTTTTTGTTTTTAAGAAAATAGTGGCTCTGGAGAATTCTTCATTGTCCTGAAGCTGGTTAGTGATAGGGTCAAGACTAGAATTCAGGTTTCCAACTTAATTTGTCAAATGAATATATAATGAAACCCAGAGCAGTTGAGAAAAGACTCTGGTCTATTCTGTTAAATGACTCACATGAAGACTTTTTTTGATAATGAGTATTTTAATCAGGCCAAGAGAAGAATGGCACACTCAAACCGAGTCATTTGAAGAAAGTCTAATGAACCTTGTGGACAGAATTGAGGGAAAGCACAAGGGGTATTGCAGATCCCCAGGTTAGTGTCAGTGGGGAAGCTTTACTGGCCTTTGGCCTGAATGAGCCAGAGGAGAGAGTTAACAGAGATAGCTGTTGGGAGAAGGCATCCCATGGGAATTGAGACTTTTGTTTGAGGGGTGCAGTCCCCCACATTTTCCAAGTGATGATTGTATCCTTAGTTTCCATTTTCCTTCTGATCTCCTGGGTTGGCTCCCTATTGGCCAAACTCCACCAGAAGCCCAATAAGTGAGGGAGCTCATCTTGGAGGTTACACAGCGTGACTCCTGGGCAAAGATGGAGGGGAAAGAGGTGGAAACTGGACCGAAAAGGGAAGGGGGGAAGGTATGCAAAACAGAAAGGTTTAATGCACTTTGTTCATCCCACACGTTTGTGTCTTATGTTACCATATATTTGCTTGAAAATTGTTATATAATGGAGACACACTTGGCCCTTATTTTGGTTTCTACCGAAATATTTTTAAGAACTTGTCTATAGTCAAAATGACAGTCAATTCACATAAAACCTTGAAATCACGTCCATCTAAGTAGTTTGCTAAAATTATTTTCTTAGTTCATTTGGATTTGGCTAAAAACAGCATAGCACTACTTTATGGCTACTTACAATTTCCTGGGCAGAATGGGTTGGTCATGGAAATTACCGCACTTCGTGTGTGGTGCAGAAAGCAGCTGCCCACGGAGAGCCCGCACTGCTCACTCCGGGGCATCTGAAGGACTGGATGGTACAGCAGGTCCTCCAAGGTGCTGCTTGCATGAGACTCTGAAGCCTGCTGGGCAGGGTTCACGTACAGGAGGAAAGAGCCAGTATTATGTTCCCATAAAATGTTCCAATCTACAGAGATGAGTTAATTTTCGTATAATAAGAGTACAATTTGTCTTCAAGCTCTTTGCTTATAGATCCATGTCTAAGTCTGAGGAACAGGATGGGGTATTTTGTCAAAACTGAAAGCACTGTTTTCAGAAAATAGCTCCCGAGATATTAGGAACATGAAGTATTGCTGCTAAGAGCCTAATGTCTTCAGTAAAAGAAAAAGAGGTATTTTCCCATTTAGCTCGGAGTGCAACATTTTTTTGGGTTGCTGAGGAATGGAGAGAGCACTGGAAGCTTTGCCATAGAGGAGACGCTACCTTTTCAGTGGTCCAGACCTCAGCAGGTGTGTGTGTCCCAATTCTGATGGCACCAGTGGCCAAGGGCTTTCAACCACAGCTGGAGGCAGACGCAGCATCCTAGGCCTTCTACATGATGGCTCTGCTGCTGCAGGAGTGACACAGTAACAGGAAAGCTCTGCAGTGACAGGGGGACTGGAGGCTGGGCACAGCAAACCAATTCACACGTTTAACGGTGGTTCTCAGCAGCACAGCCGTGGCACCTGACCTTCATGCAACCTAGTGGTAGGTGCCTGCCTAGCCAATGACATCAGTAAAGGAGAGCTTGAAAAAAAATGCCTGGAAGATGGAACCTGGTAACTGAGAGGCCTTAAGAAACACCTTCTGGGGACTCCCAAATATGCAGGTTGGGCATTGCAGGAGCTTGGGAGTCCTGCTTCCAAGTAGCAGATAAGACCCAAGATGGAGCAATATTATTATTTATTAGATCGCTGTGGTTGGAGAAACACTGACTTCATAAATATTTTAATTTTGACTGTCAGGTATACATGGCTTTGTGCTGGGCAAAACTATTCTATTTCTTATTACTCTAAAACTCTACTGTTTATGCAGAATTATCTGGAAGAGTACTATTAACTTTTTTCTCTTTTACAAATTCTTTCTTAAGTATCCTAGTATATTATTGTTGTCTACTTTAATATTTTATTGCTTACATATTTTTGTTTAAAAATTCCACAGAAATCTTAAGTTTCTAAAACAATATATAACAGAAAACCAACAACCAATTCTACGGAGGTCTGTACAAAGCAGACATGAATTTTTGAAATTTTCATTCATGTGTACGAACATTCAGGACTGTCCCTTTGAAATTAATTAAAACTTCACATCATTTTACAGGGCTCCCTTTCCTTGCCCCTTCCCCATAACTATGGACTCACTCCTTTGCTCTGATCACGAGGAAATCTAGAGCATCCCTGGAAGCTTTGCAGTAGTTTCCATGCTGGTAAAGGTGTTGAGCTGGGAGGTAACTGGGTGCAGTTGTCTGCAGGGGCCAGGTGCTGTATCAGAATGGAAAGGGTCCCTCTACTCTCTGTCTCATCCATGCTGTACACAAAAACCAGAACCAATGGAGACCAAATGAATTGCAACAGTAGGACGAGGTGAAGAACAAGAACGTGAGCCATGAACCTTGTCCAAACATGTGTAATTGTCCACCTGGAGATGAAGCCATAGAAAAGTGGTGTCACGACCTGCTCCAGGAACGCCACAGGGAGCTCTTCCAGGCAATGAGGAAATACAGAGACATTTCTTTGCAGCATTAGAAGTTTATTCCTAATGAAAGATTTTTTTAGGATTATGAAGTGATAAATTTACATTTTCTAAACCAACAAAATGGGGAAATAATAATACATCATGAAACTGCAAGACGGAATGTAATTAAATGTGAAGTGTTTACAACAGCTTCGGGCACCAACCCTTTCTTCCTTCCACCGCCCCTCCCAAAATGCAGTTGTTTGCCATGATATTACTGTTTTTCCTAACTTGGATAAATGCATTTTTGCTCTTTATACATATTAAATAATAATAGCACAAAAGCTGGTAGTCATTTCCAGCAACATTAGTCTTTTTTGTTTCATTTTGAGTACTCATTGGTGTTTTCTGGACATTCCCCAAGGAAACTGCAGTGTGAAAATGATGGTATCTTATTTCAATGTCTTCAGTGGATTCTTCGGACACTGCTTCTGAAGTGTAAATGACATTCAAATCCACCCTATGGAAATGTGATTTAGGAGGCAATTCTGCTCTGATATCTGGTTGGTAATCTTCCAATGTAAAAAATAAACTGATTTTTGATCTAGAGAATTATAAAAGTGCCTCTTCCAAATGGGGGTGTTGTCTTGTCAATATGCAAGTCTGTTGAGATGAGCACATTCACTTACTTGAGTGGACATGTGTTAATCCTGTGTTTAATGACACAATCCAACTGTATCTGGGTTGACACATATCATCCGTTAAAAACCAATAAACTATCCCCCTTTTGCCCAGTTCTCTAACCCATAGCTTGGATTATGGACCACACTTAGAATATGTTGCTCACTATAAACTGTCTTTAATTCTTAAAGTTATTTTTAACATTCTTTAGTGTCAAATATTATTTGCTGACTTAATATATTCAATCACTTACTTTGTATTCCACACACCATTTAGCTCCCCACTGGGGATAACAAGCGTCCAAGAGACAGTTGTAGTTCTCAAGAAACTTGTGGTCTCATGGGGGAGACAGACGTTGAGCACACATGTGACAAGGTGCGGATGAGGGGAGGGAAAATAAGTGCAAAAAAGGACAGAGGTGGAATCAATTCAATGTTTTTAGAATTTCATCTTTATTGTATTTTTTCATTACTATTTAGTCCTCTTATACCTCCCGTCTCCCCAGAATCAGCAGATTCTGACCTGAAAAAACAGTCAGACCTCTCCTCAGAGTCTAAGCCCTTAGGCTACAGAAGAAGCAAGAGGCCTATCCCAGGCCAGCAGATCAAGAGGTTTGCCTTGTGTGCGCAGGTGGCGGTGCCTCCAGATGTATTTGCACAGGCCAAGCAGAAGGAATCCAACGACCGAACGGCTTCCAAGGTGTTCCCAGACCAAGAAGAAGATAATATGCAAGATGTGCAGTAATGAAGACACTAACTTACAATAAGATACAAAAATGGGAAAATCAGATCACTTGGTTTTCTTTGGATTTTCATAAGAAAAAATTTAAGTGATCCATCTTTCAGGTGATGGAAACAGTATGAGAACCCTTATTCACTTATCGCCCACGGCCAGATGTGATCAGAAAACAATTCCCCTGCCTCCTCTTTGCACCACGCAATGGCAGGAGGAACTCACTCAAGATGCCTTCCTGACTGGGTTAGAGAAGGGGAATGGAGCAGAGAAATAGGAATCAAGGAGTCTGGCTCTGAACAACGTTTTAAAGACCAATTATGCTTAATGTACCCAGAGAAGGCAAACATTCCCAGCGTGTTTCTGCAGTTCCAAACACAGCCTTGGATCCGTTTTCCCTTTTTAGTGAAGGTATTCTGGGTGAGGTGAGGTAGCAACTTGATCCACTGAACACTCCTCTGGAAACTTGTTTTGAAATTCTTTTCTTGAAGATTAAATATCTTGGAATGAACCAGGACTATGTTAAAACTTGCTTATAAGGTGTGTGGTATACTCTGTTCTCTGCCAAAATGCTTTAGGGCAGCTCAGAAATAAAGTTCATGAGCAACACAAAGGCTCTGTGTCATCTTAGTGTTTCTTAGGAATGAGGCTCAGCCAGCACGGCCCAGTGAAAGCTGCTGGCTCCATGCTACTCGTCAGTGCACCAGAAGCAATTTGATCACAGCCCAGCCTGGTCCTTGGATTCTCTCAGCTGTTCAGTTGGTACACCCCTATTAGAGGGGAGACTGCCTCAACTCCAATGATGGACGTCAGGAGAATGAGAGGAAGTTTTCCTGTGATAGTAGGCCAACTGCTAAGATGGTTCTTTTTTTTTTTAAACTTTCTTTTTTTAAAAAATATTTTATTTATTTTTCGAGAGAGGGGAAGGGAAGGAGAAAGAGTGGGAGAGAAACATCAATGTGTGGTTGCCTCTTGTGAGTCCCCTGCTGGGAACTGGCCTGCAACCCAGGCATGTGCCCTGACTGGGAATCGAACCTCGACACTCTGGTTCGCAGGCCCGCGCTCAATCCACTGAGCTACGCCAGCCAGGGCTGCTAAGATGGTTCTTAACACTCTCCCCTTCTGGTACTTGAGCACTGGGGTAACCCCCACCTATTCTGTGAAAATTGGACCTAGTGACCTGATTCGAAGGAATAGAACATAGCAGAAGTGCCTCCCCTCTTGCTAGCCTTAGATTTTGCTGAAGCACTCTCTCACTCTATGCTCTGTTTGCTTGCTTGCTCTTGGGAAGCAAGCTGACATATTTGAAGTTGCCCTACAGAGAGGTCCATAAAGTAAGAAACTGAGGGTGGTCTTTGGTCAGGAGCCAGGGAATAAATGAGGCCCTTGGTCTAAAACCTGCAAAGAACAGAATACCATCAATGACCATGCACGTGAGTGAGCTTGAGAGCAGATTTTGTCTCAGCGGCACACTGACATGACTGCAGCCTATGAAAGTCCCAGAGCCGGAGGACTCAGCTAAGCCAAACGTAGATGCTAGTTTCTATAAAAATAATGAGACAACAAATGTCATTGTCTCTAGCCACTAAGTTTTCAGGTAATTTGTTACACAGCAATGGATAGCTATTACAGCTGCTTAAATAAAGAAAGGGTAGGGCTTGGGAATGGGGCACAAAGTTTGGAAAGGAAATAGTACATACATTTCTGTCTGTCAGAGTCACCAACCCAGAGAGAATTTTTATGACAAGTGTTCTTACACATACTGTGTCCAGTCATTGGGACAACCTGGCCAGGTTCACGTATTTTGGATAGACTGAGATTACACAAGTGCAATTAGTTGGCTCCAAATGCATAGTGAGAAGGTGACAGAAATAAGAGAGAAACCAACGTCCCTCCTATTTAGAAGTCTTGCTTCTTTCCTCTGCATTTAGTGAGTCGTAAGAGGCGAGGGCAGGGTTGGGACTAGGGTGGCAGTGAGGACCGCCTGTGAGACCTTTCTGATGCTAGTTCTGTCACTTTTCCTTTCCGGAAGCCCAGCCACAGTTTGCACTGAACAATATCGCACAGTGGGGTTGGGCCAGCAGAGCACTGAACAGTTCAGTTATATGGCTTGCAGCTTGGCCTGAGATGCAAAAAATTAAAAGTGCAAATTTCTACCACGTTCTGCTTAAGATTCTGGTAGTCCTTAGCCTCTCTGGTGATTAGTGGGATGATCACATGACTCTGCCATTCTGGCATTAGGTTGTTTTTGTTAAGTTAAAAATAAAACAGCACCGAGAGCTCCACCATTTGCTGGGCTCACAACAGTGTGATGTGGGTTGGATTACAGCCCCAACTGGCCAAATGGGTCTGGCTAACCACGTCAGGAGTAGGGTGGATGAGCAGAGAGTGGAGCTTTCATCTGATGGTGGCAACGAGATTATGAGATAATAGAAGAATGCACCACTGCCCCACACTTTAGGGAGACACGGGTGGCCCTGGGCACTCCTGTCATGGCGTCCGGAGCTGAGCAGGGCAGCTGCAGGACTGATTGGACACTGAAGATAGGCTGTGGTTCTGTCTCACCAGCTCCAGGGCCAGGTCCAGGGTCTCTCATCTAGATTCAGGCCTTTAGCTCATTAGCTTTTGTTAATAGCTTTCCCACCCCTAGCCCAGAGTGGGCTTCTCACTGCTCCTAGGGCCACAGGCTTGCTTCCAGAGCAGTGGCCTCTTCACAGGTGTTTGTGACAGACACAGGTATTTGTGACAGACAAAGTCCACTCCTGGACAAGATGACGGGAGAGGCTTGTTCTTCAGCTCCTCCCTGCTACCTCACTGCGTGTTGCCTAGAGAGTGTTTTTAGGGCAGCACTGTCCAGTGAAGTAGCCACCAGTGACATGAGGCTTCTGTGGAGCATTTGAAATGCGGCCACTGAGACTGAGGAACTGAATGTGTCATTTAGTTTAATTTTAATTCATTTACATTTAAATAACCATATGTAGCTGGTGGCTAATGTGTTGGCTAGCACAGATCCAGAGGCTGTCATCCTTATGTTATTCTTTTGTGAATTTATTTCCTGACTCATATTTATAGAACATTTTGTATGTGCCAAGACCATACTTAGCATTTTGCACTATCCACCCAGTTTTCACAAAACCCGATGAAGCCCATTATGTGATTCACATTTTCCAGAGGAGAAAGTTGAATTTTAGAGAGATGAAGTGGCCTGTCTCACATCATACAGGCAGGAGACAGGATTCAAAATAAAGGTGATCTGAGTCCAGTTCCGCTTTCCTGTGCAGAAGAATGAGGCTGAGTCAGCAGGAAGGGGGGGAAATAAAATGGACACAAGACGATTAAAATAATAGTCCTTGCTAAAATGGGTTCTTTCCTTTTATTGCTTATTGTAAACATTCTGGCCTCAGCAAATACATTGGCTTTTAAATAACCATAGATTAAAGATTTCACATCATATACTATTTCTCCCCAAGATGTAGCATCTATGAAAATAATTAGTGAACTCCAAAAATGTGTACTGGCAATGTGCACATTTATGCTATTGTGATACTAAATACAAATAATAAAAGTGGTCATCTATTGTTGGTCTATGGATTTGTGATATATCTTCCAGGAGACCTTAAAACAGCCCAAAGAAGAGAGATGGTATGAACTGAAATGGCTCCTCTGTGGGTAATGTTTGCAGAACATAAGAGGTATGTGATAAATGTTTATCGATGGTGAAGATGATGAGAATTCAATTTCCATGGGTCTTTTCCTCTCTGTTTTTCTTAAGAAATATGTGGCACATTACAACCAAAATTCTGAAAGTCACAGGGACCCTGGCACTTTGAGCTGCACAGTTGCAGTGTGGATTGGTCTAATCACACTTGCATAAGAAAGATAAATTAAAGCCTATGTACTGTTACATTTGTGCTAAAATCACAGTCACTAGAATAGGCTGGAACTCTTGAATGTACTGCATCTTCATAAGTAAAGAAAATGATCAGTATCTGGAAACCAAGCAAGTCACTCAGAACAAATCTAGCTTTTAGATCTCACTGGCAGTCAAATTGTATTTCCATCAGATTAGTGTATTTGTAAGTAAAATATGCTACTTGTATTAGCTACTAAATTTCCTAGCTATAAGAACGGAACTATAGTTTATACCTTAGGATATTTTTTTGTTTTATTCAGCAAAATTCACATTATTGTTTGGGGATTTCACTGAATTATGATGACGGTGTTGGCACAAACATTTTAGATTTACTTGCAAAGTGATACAAAAAATGACTCATCTCTTCCCAATATTTCCTCAGTGCAAATTTTAAGTACATGAAAGATCCAATATGAATGTTAAGGTCACTTAACATGTTAGATTTATTTATTAACAACTTTTACACATAAAGATAGGCACTTCATAACATTTGGATTTTGGCAAAAGGCACAATTTAATGTTGCTATCCTAACCTTTCCATAAATGTGTAACTTTTTCAAGGGACTAGATTATCAAAATATATGAAAGAGACACAGATTCTTTTCTAAACTACCAATGAATGGAATTCCACAGAACAGAATCCAAACTTCATTTTTTCCTCTTCTTTTTGTAAATTTGTATATTTTCATGATCAAGTTCTTAGATTTTACTTCTTATAGAAGAAATGGAATTATTTGGCATCTAATATTTTAATTTGAAGTGAAGAGTTTGTTGCTTGTGGAACTTGATACTTTTTTCACTGTTGGAAAAATCTTTGGCATCATACACTGAGTCAAGTCAGATGGCTTTTTGATGGCAGTCACTACCATTGAGGAGTTCTTGGCTTTGAGCAACTTTGAATCCCTTTGATTCTGTTTTAGTTTTCAAAGTAAATGGATGAGATTGAACTATTGTAGAAGTTTTCATCTTTGAAGGCATAAAAATTTACCCCATATCTACATAAAACACGAGCAGAACTTCTGAGGTCCACTGGATCCTTCGAGCATTTGATTTAGCTGTCCCTTCTACAGCGTGTCTCTAACATGTAGTCAGCCCGGTTCTGTCTGAAGTATTGGTAACAGGGAGCTTCTCCAGAGCTCCAATTGCTCTTTCTCATACTGAAACTAAAGTTCCCATAACTTCCATCCAGTGCTTCCGATGGTATAAGGCACAAAGTAGGTTCTCATGTACTTGGATCAGCATTTATCGATGAAAGAAAGAATAAACAATTCTAGTTCTGACTCTTGAAGCTACATGGAATACAGAATACATGGTTTATTTGGGCAGTCCAGGCTCTTTTCCTGTATCACACAAATCTTCTCTTTTCCAGAATCAGTACTGCAAAAATATTTTCAGATATTTTATCTGCCGTCATTACTCTCCTCTGAATGTGCTGACATCAATTAGTAGGTCTCTTTAAATGTGGTTCCGGTGAACCAAACATAATACTCCAGGTGGGTTCAGCTCTGAGAAGGGTTAAAAACTCTGCATCTCTTAGCCTGGACATTCCAGTTGACACACTGTTTGACCCAGAAGACGACTCCTTTCAGCAATGCGTTCCTGTCTGTTTCCGAGCAGAGGCTTTCTATTCTGGGCAAGATCTGCGGCTGGCACATATTTTGTTCTGGGAGGAGAAGGATTATTTTCTTGCGTGTCCAGGATAAGGAGGGGGTGGAGACCTCTGTGCTGAAGCTGGTGGGGTCGGGGAGTAGGGAGGAGGCAGTTCCGCACGGAATTCCATCTCATGGTCGCAACTATAGGGGGGCGGTGGCGCTGAAAAAGAAAAGGGGACGGGCATCAGGCAGGCAGCAGATACCTGAGTGCCTTCCATGTCGATGCTTCTACATTGGGTGCTTTGGGTGGGGACATAATTTTTGCCTGCAAAACTCGAGTTTTATCAGGCTGAGGGGCACACATACGTACCAGGGAGAAGACTATAAAAGGTGTTGCCACTGGCCAAAGTATTTAGGGTTGGTGGCTGAGGGTGTGTTTTGGAAATATGGTGTTGATGGCCAGAGAGAGAAGAGTCTGGGGGTAATTCAAGTTTGAGCAAAATAACAGACAGAGGAGAGCATTTTTGTTCAAAGAAAAAAGTATATGGAGGAGAGAAACGGGAAAAACATTGAGGAATCTGATTGTACTATCATCAGGGTGGGCTTTGAAAATCACATAAGCACTGTGTGATGTACAACTATCAGAAAATTTTTGAATACGCTGGTGAATATGGGGTGAATTTGGGGTGATTGAGGTAGACCACAGAAAAGGTGAGAGAATATAAGAGTTGTGTGAGGAATTATAAGGGGCGCACAGCAGTGGGGCAACCAGGTGGGAACCACGAGAGCCCTTAGGTTATGACTGGGTAGGGGGAGGAAGGTGTGGAGAGTGGAAGGAAGTGTTAATGTACTGGACACCCAGTACTGGGCTCCCATAACTGAATGGTCATGGAGCCATTACAAGAATAGGAATTAGAAATAAAAAGAGGAGAGGGACAAGCATATTTGTGAATAAGGTTGACAAATTTAGTTTTGTAAATTTTATTAGAAAATTTGTCTTAACTGTCTTAACTGTAATATATGCGGTGTGTTCTTAAATGACTTTAATGCACTTTATTATGACTACATATGGATGTTTTTTATGTAATGATCTCAATCCCATCTCTAGGGTGGGAAGACAGGTACCCCTTGAGCACACCCGGTCTTCAAGAACCCCGTCATTCTGCAACCTCTGAGCAGAGGCTCAGCAAGCCCTCTGATGACTTGCCAGTACTTGAATCAACATCAAGATCATGACTCTACTTGGAAATAATGTGTGTAATTGCTACTGTGAATGAAGACTAAATCACAAGACTGGTGTCATAAAATTGCCCAAACAAAAAACCCCAAAAGGCCAGGCCCTTAACATTAGAATGGGAAGAAAGAACATGTGACATTTAAACATTCTTATTTCTAAGATGTCTTCTAAAATGTACTTTTACCACTAAGATTATGATAACGTTCTGTTGATATGCACACACAAACACTGGGCTTCATCCCATTTGCAAACACAAACCATGTTTCTTCTGGGTCCCCTTAAGTTGTCTAACTTTTCCAGGAGTTTAATGATTTGAACCATTTACTGCTCTGCCTAGACTCAGGGATGTGAGGGAGCAGAATTGAGTCACTCAAGGAAAGAGGAAGATGGAGATGCAGAATTAGGTGGGATGTCCTCCATGGGATTCTCAGGTCAGCAAAGGCTTTGCAAATCTCTGGTGGTCTGAGCAGGCTGTGGGCTCCTGACAGAGGACAGAGCTCTATAGAGAACACAGCAATGATGTGTACAGCTTCTCCGTGGCTGCAGTGGACCTGTGGAGGCTGGGCTAGTCTGAGCTTTGTTTTCTACAACAAAATGGAATTACTCCTGTGGAATCTAAACACCCATTCCCTCTGCAGTACACCCACTCCTTTGCTTCATTATGTCTCGGAGGACTGAGACAAACAGATTTATAATAAACTTCCTCCAAGCCAAGAAACGCAGCCTCCAGGAAAAGTAGGAAATTACAGCTGGATACCCACTGAACTGTTTCTTTTAAGCATGTGGCTTTAAGTTGTTTTTATGTTGAAGCCTTTCCCTGCCTCCCACGTGAGAGGCACACAGCGCATGATTCTACAGACTGACTGCATTGTTCTCTGTCACGAAGCCGCAGTGCGTGGTCATGCCTCGGTAACAAAGCGTTTATGTTCTGCCATCTGCATAAAAATGGCTGGAGGACATTTCTGTGAGATTCCCCATGGTTTGTACAGCTGCATGTTGAACATGAAAATGTAACATATGAAACAGCAGTCTTTCTGTCGTACGCCTTTGGATTTTGACAATGTGATAATACAATGCTGAAGAGCGATATTGTGAAGACCATATCCATCACGAAACAAGCATGGTACATCTTTCAGGGTAGCAGCTCCTAGAAGGCATTTTGAAATAATACTTGTATAACTGTGGGCTATGCTATCTTTCTTTCTTGCAGATAATAAGGTTTCACTAGGAAGTAAACTTTTCATGCTATCAATTTTTAGCACTCCGGATTAACTCTAAGATTTGTTCTTCCTTAAAGGTCAAGTCATCTTTAAAAGACATATGGTTACAGATGGAGATACGGTGTCTTAGAAATTCTTTCCTTCCCAATATTACAATTTTCTGATTTCAGTAGAGGGAACATGCTGTTTATCCTTAATATCATTATAGTGGTCTACAATATTAGAAGGTTTAAGGATGCTATGAAACTCATGGAAGAAATTTAATGTTTTTCAACCACTCAGGCCAACAGTTCTAAAGCAAATGTAAAGGGAAGATGCGTGGTGTTATTAAAACTATTCACCATTATTTTAGAAAAGTGGGAAACAGAAAAATGATCCACAATGTTCTCACCACAATTTAACAAATTTTATCTTTATACATTCTCTTCTGGTCATTGGTGTTTTTTATATCCTTGTAGTCATATAAAAAGGTATACGCTTTTAACTTTGAATTATAATATAACCTCTCTCATTGTGCTGAATATTCCTCATAAACATTATTATCAATAGCTACATGTTATTCAAATGACCATTTAGTTGTTTTTATATTAACAGCTTTTTATTATTATAAAAAACGGAGTGACAGATATCTTTCTACACAAAGACTTCTTTTAAATTAGTTCTTTAGAACAAAATTCCGGGAATCAACTGACTGGCCACCACCTGCTATTTTTGTCTTCCTTGTGTTTATTTTTTATCTTATAAAAGCTTCCTGCCTTCTGCCCATTTTGTAGTTCACCTCATGAAGACTGTCTACTTCATGGTGTTGGTTTGTAACACCTAAATTGTAATTGTCTTCTTTAATTACTTCTGAAACACATGTAATCCTGCTTCTCAGTCCCTTTGACTTTTTAAAATATATTGTCATATATATTTTTTAAAGATTTATTTATTTATTTATTTATTTTTAGAGAGGGGGGAAAGGAGGGAGAAAGAGGTGGAGAGAAACATCAGTGTGTGGTTGCCTCTTGTGTACCCTCCAGTGGGGACTTGGCCTGCAACCCAGGCATGTGCCCTGACCGGGAATCAAACCTGCAACTCTTCAGTTTGCAGACCAGCACTCAATCCATTGAGCCACACCAGCCAGGGCCCCTTTGACTTTTTTGCATTCAAAAACAATTTTCTGACCTTGGTGTAACCAATAATGCTACCATTCTGTAAATCTGACTACCACCCTATTCTAAAATATCTTGAACCTCACCTGGATTTTCAATTTATTAATGGCATTTAAAAATAATAATTTAAGCTGATGTCACTTTTACTTTTTTATTCATATTTTTATTCAGCTTAGATTTATGATCCAACAGATAAATTATTTCTATGCATCTATTGTTAACTTTCTATCACTTTCCCCATAGCCTGACGAGACTCCAATCCTAATTAAATGTACTACTTTAACTACCCTGGCTCTGTATCTAGGAGCTTAATGTAAGAGGATAAAAATGCACAATTATGCTAATTGATTTCACTTTAAATGAATGACCATATTCTTAAGTGTGGAGGCTATTGGCTGTGCTTGTGAATTGAGCATTTCTTTGGGCATTCCAGCACCCCTCCATTCTCTGAGATTACTGTTTTATTCTTCCTGCTTAACTACGAGCACCTCTGTAACCTACTTTCAGGATAAGACTTGCTTCCTTTTTCACTGAGAAAATCGGCACAATTAGAAGGCACCTTATCACCATCCAAGGAGGATGAGTACATGGAAGTCTTCCCGTGTTCAGTACATATTCAAATAAGGTTGCCCTCATTTGTTAATTCAATAATGAAATGAAGTGTTGATTTCTCCATGAAATAATTCCAAGAGATTTTAAATACTGCACACCAGTTATTTTATAGAATGTTCCTCAACTTGGGTTTGTCAGATGACTTTTCATGCTAAGATTCAGGCTCTGAACTTCCAGAATACCACACAGGGGAAGCTCTGTCACCTTCAGAGTTGCAGCCAAAGATGGGAGACGTCCATTTGTCTTTCCTTGGTGGTATTAGGTTTTATTTCCTGGTTGAGACGGTGTCTGCTTTCTCCACTTTTATAATCAACAAGAATCTGGGAATAGGTGCTTCAAGGGTGTGCACATATTCTGATGCTCAGCAACCTTTCCCCCAGATTTACCATTAGTTGATGATCCTTTTCCTCAACCTTTCTTATGATACTTTAAAAATATTGAATTTTCCCACTCTACAACTCCTTTTTACATGTATCCTTTGGCATTTTGCTGGTAGCAAGAGACTCTCCCTCCTTCTCTATTGTTCGCATCTGTTCATCTATCTATCTATCTATCTATCTATCATCATTATCATCATCAATCGATCAACAGGGAACTAAATAATGCACTTCAAATCTTAATTTTCTTGAGAGCATTAAAATCTCTTGTTTTCATTTTATTGGCATTTGATTTTTATATCTTTTCAAAGCCTTTTATTACTGTTTTTTCTGTATTACCTTCTTTCAGGTGTGTATAATCCAAACTCATTTTTTAGAAAGGCGTTACTATGACCACTCTCCTTCATTTACAATGGAATTCTGGAAAGTAGTGGAAATGTAAGATTTGACAAATAATTCTTAATTTCACACAGGTGGTTTTAAAAATAATTGTAATGAAACAGGACACCATTTATTCTACCCAAAATGGCAGGAATAAAAAAACTATCTTAGAAGGTCACTGTCCAACAGAGGCTCAGGTGTGGCAGATGACCTTTTCTTGGTCACCCCCGCCTCTGCCCCCCAGAGAAGAGCGATCACTTTCACTGCAGGGCTCCCTCCCAACACTTGCAACAAGGGCTGATACAACACGGGCTGGATTATCTACTACCCACTTCTGTGGCCTCCAGGCTGGGGGACTATACAACTTGGACTCAACAACAATAAAGATAACGTGGGTTGTTATCTCTATCATCACAGGGTTCATTAACAAAATGTGAGTACAAACATTTTATATTTCCACACATGAGAGGTTTCAAAAAACATTCAATTCTACTCTGAGTTGCTTCCTCATCCTTTAAGCACAAGCTTAATTAGCGTCATTGAGAAGGAAATGAGAAGTAATCAAGTACATAATGTTTTGAAGACCTCGTGTTTTTGTAGTGAAAATGTTCCTACCCTAAGGTTCATTGTGTTTCTTGCATTATTCAGTTCCCAGAACCCTGTGTTTACTAAACATGCAGCCTGCCTCTGTGATCTGCCAGTAGTAAGGCACCAGTGTGAAGTTTTGAAAACATGTTTCCATGCATGAAATAGACACTGCAAACCCCAAAAAGCCCCACAGAACTTCACATGAAAATATTTTATATCTTCTATTATAATTTTATAAATACTATTTGAAAATGGTTTAAAAATTAATTTTAACTATTCTTGGCCAAGCAAAAGTGTATGAGAAATGTTATCTCCAGAGCACTTCTCTTTGCCTTCTCTCCAATTAATGTCTGTCTCTCTTCTTTCGTGTTACAGGTTGGCCAGGTAAAAACGAGGAGTTGTGAAGAATAAAAAATAATACCCCCATTTTTTCCCTTATACCCTAACATTATTACATGAATCTCAGCAATATTCTCAGTCAGTTGGGGAGATTCAAAATTGTGAATTGCTTTTGCACTGAGTAAAAGCTACACACACTCCAGAATGGAGTTGAGGGTAAATTCCCTAGGTACTGATATCTAAATCAGGTCTTGTCATGAGTTCTGTTCATTCTTTCAGCCATGTCTCCTGAGTGCCTGTTAGGCGTTGGTCCCGGTCACATGTGCTTGAGATTTAGTAGCAAACAAAAGGAACAAAAAAGATCCCTGCCTCATGGAGCTAATATTCTAGAAGGACGAAAAAAAACCAATAAGCAATAAATGTAACAAGTAGATAAATTATGTGATGTATTAGAAGATTAAAAACACTGGGGGGAAACGTGTAGCAGAGTAAGGAGGATTGGGTGCTGTGGGGAGGGATACATTATAATCTTAAATAGGGTGATCAGGGCAGGCCTCATTCCAGAGAAGATCTTCGGACAAAGAGTTGAACTGAGTGAGGGACTCGTATTTCAGACAAAGCCCTAAGGTGGGTGTGGGCCCTGTTTGTTCCTGGAACAGCAGGAAAGTGTGAGTGCAGCCAGAGTGATAAGAAGGACAGTAGGAGGAAATGAAGTCAAAGAACTGAAAAGAGGAGCCAAATCATACATTGCTTTGAAGGTTCTGGTAAAAAGTCTGTCTTTGACTTTAGATAAAATGAAGAGCCCCTGGCACTGACTCTTCCTCTGCGAGAGAGAAGAAGCCACTAAAGGATTTGAGCATCATGTGACTGCTCTTATGAAAGTTTCACTCCGGGTATTGTGTTGAGAACAGACCCTGGAGGCACAAGGAAGGTTCTGGGGGAGCACTTAGGATGTTGTCACAGGGATGGAGGTGAGAGCTGATGGGGCTCCCATCACGGAAGGAGCGGTTGGTACTGTGAGGAGTAGTCAGATACTATCCATATACATACGTATTTTGAAGATGGAACTGAAAAGTTTTCCAGACAGACTATATGTAGCTTTGAAGGAAAGAGAGGAGTCAAGAAGGAGCCCAAGACTTTTAGCCTGAGCAGCTGGAAGTCTAAAGATGCCGCCAACTGAGATGGCAAAAGCTGTAACTGGAGGAGGGCTTGGGAGCATGGTCATGTCCAGACATGTTGAACTTGAGGTATCTCTCAAAATCGATGTTACTTACCAGGATAGGAAGCGATGGCGTTGATGTGCGCGGTGCTGATGACTCCCACCCGGGGCCCGCGGTTGTTTTTCATGCACATGCAGATACAGATGGCAATTCCAGCAATGACGCCCATGATAAATACGATTCCAAACACGATGCCAGCAATCGCTGTGCCCCTACGAAAGAAAAAAACAAAACAAAACAGTACATTTCTTGGAAAGTAACATTAGGATTTTTCAGATTTCCATATACAATTTGATAACTATGACAAGTGTTTCTTTATGAATGTTCTTAAGGATAATTTTATTCCCTGATTCGGTTAAGAAGTCTTGTGTATTGCAATGAATAAATAAGTTGTAAACCTTTAGGGAATCCTCTTCCAGAACAGGAGACCTATCATTCACATTCTGGTGTTTGAAATTCATGTATTTATACAAAACATAATTCTCCAGATAGGCTATCTAAAGTGATAATTTAAAAAACCATTCTTCTGTGTAAATAGCAAAGAATTTATCTACTTTCTATAAAGTATATGTGTTTAATGAAGACAACTTGATTCATGTCAAAATATGACATCAATAGTAGCATTTATTCTCATTAGAACTCTTCATAAAGAAAAATAAAAACCAATATCACACAAAGGAAAGTTATTAGCATGCTATGTGATTTCTCTACAGCAACCCCAGATTCTAGAAGACAATTAGCAATGCCTTCATATTTCTGAGAAATAACATCTTTCATGTTAGAGTTCCATACCCACACAAACTATCAACAAGTGAGTAAAGCACTGAGTCATTGCCAGGCATGTGAGGACTCTGAAACATTTCTCTCCCTTGTACTTCCCTTTAAGCAGACATTCAGGAATGTGCTTTGACCAACAGGGCAGTTCACCGAGAAAGAGCAAGAATGTGCCTATATCTGTACCTAGCTGCATGTATTTCTGTATATATTAAATAAGAATTATAATTTCAAATAGTTAAAATGCTACTAAATATTGTTCCAATTGCATGTGTGAATGCTAATAGGAGGTAGAAATACCAATTTATACCATTTCCCCAGTAAGCCTGTATTACTTGAGAAACACGCTGTAACATTCAGGTATGCCAAAGATATTTACTTTTCCTTTTTTCATACTGGCCCTTCTCTCTAATAACTTCTCTCAACATACCCACTTTGTGGAGGCTTTTAATCAATTTCTCTGTTATGCTCGGAATAATAAATTTCCCTGATTCCCTGGTTCTGTCCCTGTGATAGAGATGTGTCTACTGCAATACCTGTCTTCTACATTTTCTTTCCATAAAAAAACTCTTGAGGGTTAATTTAGGTACCTGACAACCTGAAATAAATGCTATTTATCTCCTAGATACTCTTAAAAGTTGTCTTTTTGGTGATAAATTTATAGAAAATAGTTGTAAGTAAAATATTTTGTGACATCACTCAAGAAAACTTCTTAAAAGGTGGGAAGAATGAGCTTGTCCCCTGCAGCTTCCCCACCCACTCCTCACCCTGCTTTCTGAAACCTTAGCGTAATGGCTGAGCTCTAGTCTCATTGCCAGACCATGAGGACAACCTGCCCAGGGATGGAGGAGGTTTGAATTTCATGGGGTGTGCATCCTGAATAGATAAGGAGATGCTATATCAACCCCGAGTTACCTATCTCTGAATTCCCTTTACATGACAGAGAAATATAAACTATTTAATTTTTTTCATTAAAATCTCTGGTAGTTTAGTGTGTGTGTGTGATGTGTGATATGTAGCTTAACCTAACCTCACCTAATACAACTCCTTTGCCAAGATTAACAAGGTAAAACAAAAGGGAAGTCTTTAATGCAGAAATAGCAGTTCTAAGGAAAATATATATATATACTCTGAGTTCCCTATGAAAAGGTTCCAAAAAAATCACAGCAGAACCAAGAAAGTATGAGACTGCATTCAACCTCTTGTAAATTGGGATCATTCTTCTTCCATCTCATGTGGCTACATTTTTATGATTTAGTGAGAGACCTTCAAGACATCTTTATATTGTCTAGACATCAAGGAGGTATATACAATGAGAATAAAAAATAGTCTTAAAGATGCTGTAAATGATAGACTGACCTGAACAATAACACTTTTTTTTTCACTAGAGTTCAATAGTAAATGATATGATTGATTAAGAATAAATTCAAGCCAAAACGTACCCTTTGGTTGGTTTGTACTTATTTTTACTGATCAATTTTTTTGAATAAGAGCACAATTCTTATATTAGATTCATAAAGTGAGTTCAATGAAGTTCAAATGCATATAATAAAATAAGAGTAAAAAATGGAAATCTGAGTAAAGATTACTGAATTATATTTATTGATACATTCGGTATACCAGATGGGTTCTATATGTCATATGTCCTGCCAATCTAGCCTCAGCACACCATAACATACTGTCAAAGTCGAAATGCAGTCATTCATAGTTTATATACATGCATGTGATTGATTTCATAGCAATATTTGGAAGCACAATTTTGACCCACACATAAATCAGCTTAGTTTTCCAGGCACGCCCTAGAAGTGTTTGATTTACTCTTGTGGTAATGCCTGCAATTCTACATGGCTGCCACTAGATAGCACCATTTGTGACATGCGGTGTCCATTGTTAATCTTCCATGTGCCAGGCCTATTTTGGGTAATGGGATCTACAGTTGAATGATGCATGGCACCTTCAAGGATTTGAGAACCAGGTATGCAATAGTAAGCAAAGAGAGATTTGAAGGTCAAGTTTTTCTAGGCATAAAGGACCAAAACAAGAAAAACAATTAATTTGATCATACTCAGCAGAAGAGAACAATGAAATTAATCCCATTCATATTGTTCTTTAAAAAAAAAGCAATGGTATGAATGTGATGAACTAATGAGAGTAGTAATAATTTGTCAGTACTTTATTGCATATACAGATTTTTGACCTAGAGGAAGCTTGTGTGGGATAGAATCTGACCGACTTTTTTTGCAGGCAAGGAAACCAAACCTGTGAGAGGCTAAAATAAAGGTCTTCTAGCTAGTGTCCTGGCAAAGATGCCTCAGAGGACCTGATCCCTACCCCACAGCTATTTGCACGGCCCTGGCCTGCCTTGCTCACAGTCTGTTGTCTGCTTGGCAAATGTTATGGCATCTCTTCACTGTGCCAGATTAATGGAAAAAGTCTCACTGGGAAGTAGAGAAGAGGAGAGGAAGGATTCCTGAAACGTTTGGGGAACTGAAGCCCTGGTACCTGGTGACTAGATTGAAGTGGGGAGTAAATGAGAGGCGAGAGTCTGGAGTGTCTTCCTGATGGGCGGTTGCCCCTCACTGCACAATGGGCAGTTCATAAAAGTGTGCTAAGAGGAAGACAATATGACACATTTGACCATAAGTTAAATTCAAACAGGGACAGTCACTGTGCAGAGACTTCCTTGCCTCTTCCTTTTAAACGTAAAAATTTTCCAATTACTGCTAGATGTAATTCTCTTGTTTCTAATGCTTTGGCACAGTTCACCTTTTGGAAGTAACCTTTGCTGAAACTTCACTCTGAGATAATTACCTTCACTTCTGATGATTACTTTAGACAAGACTTTCTTCTCTTCCTTTCTATACCTTTTCATTGTATTTTGAGTGAAAAAAATCACAAAGCAGTTTTTGGACAGTGACGATAAGGCTTTCTATTGAAAGTCAATTTGTTGAGATTTAAGTCCTAAGAGCATATAAGACTTAAAGGATTGAATCTGATTATGAAAATGCAGAGCCCACAGAGTAACCTGCTTTTTTTCCCCCATTGACTCCAGCGTGGAGTGTTTCAAATAAATCTGGAGGCTCACACCATCACTGACCTGGCTACAGAAGAACAGCTACAATATACCTTTCAGACTTAGACATTTAAAAATTTAGTAAGATTCCTAGAGGATTGAGGTGGATGTTGGAAGTTGTAAACCTTTCCAAATTAACTGCTGAAACCACTAACAGACCACAGTGGCATAATGGACCACTGGCAGGCAGCCCACATGCTGTCTGACCCAATGTTCTCTCCTGCCAACTGCTCGACTGTACATTACAAGTGACTCCACCCACCCAAGCAACTGCGATTCTCTTCCTGGACCTTTGCAGGTCCCTATCATCTGCTGAGGCAAGCCTGTAATTGATGGTCGTCTGCTGCAGAGATCTCTTGTGTTGGCCTGCCAGTGATGTGATCAGGTCTGGCATTTATTATCTGCACTCAACTCTCATGAACTTGTGATTTCCAAGACCCAGATGCTGCTGCTTGATCACACTTCTCCGAAGGCCTTCCTCACAGACTTGGCTCTGCCCACCTGATATGGGTGATGGAGACGTTACAGTTTGGCTTCCTCATCGAATGTAGTAGCCTCATGCTCGTTTTAGTGATTCTTTTTTTAAATATATTTTATTGATTGTGCCATTACAGTTGTCCCATTTCCCCTGCTTCATTCCCCCCTTTAGTTTATGTCTATGTGTCACTAGTTCTTTAGATTCTACATTCCCCATACTATTCTTGCCCTCCCCTCTATTTTCTACCTACCATCTATGCCACTTATTTTCTGTACCTTCTCTACCCTTCTCCTCCTCCCACTCCCCTGTTGCTAACCCTCCATGTGATCTCCATTTCTATGGTTCCGCTCCTGATCTAGTTGTCCTCTTAGATTGCTTTTGTTTTAGGTGTGGTTGTTTTGTTTTAGGTGTGAGTTTGCTGTCCTTTCACTGTTCACCCTTTTTATCTTCTTTTTCTTAGATAAGTCCCTTTAACATTTCATATAATAAGGGCTTGTTGATGATGAACTCCTTGAATTTGACCTTATCTGAAAAGCACTTTATCTGCCCTTCCATTCTAAATGAAAGCTTTGCTGGATAGTTCAATCTTGGATGTAGGTCTCTGGATTTCATGACTTGGAATACTTTTTTCCAGCCCCTTTTTGCCGGTAAGGTCTGTTTGAAGAAATCAGCTGACAGTCTGGTGGGAACTCCTTTGTAGGTGACTGTCCCCTTATCTCTTGCTGCTTCCAGGATTCTCTCCTTCATTTTAATCTTGGCTAATGTAATGATGATGTGCCTTGGTATGTTTCTTCTTGGGTCCAACTTCTTTGGGACTCTCTGAGCTTCCTGGATTTTCTGGAAGTCTATTTCCTTTGCCAGATTGGGGAAGTTCTCCTTCATTATTT